TATGCGCTAAGGACCGATGGGTACCGGCCTCAGGTAGGAATCCATACATCGACTCATTCGTCAACACAGCCAAAAACCACCTCAACCTATCACCAGAAGAGAGGAATGCCATTCGCACACTCAAATCGAATAAGGATATCGTCATCAGGAAAGCCAACAAATGAGGAGCCACCACAATTCTGAACAAAACTGACTACATCACTGAAGCTAATTCTCAACTTACAGACTGTAATTTTTATAAGAAATTTGACAAGGACCCTACTGAACGTTTTAAATCCGAACTTTGTAAAATCACTTCCGAATTCAAATTTATTGCGCCATCGACCGTTCATGATCTTACTCCTACTAACCCTTCCCCAGGTTTGTTTTACACTATCCATAAACTGCACAAATCGCCCAAACTCATCGCCAAAGAACTTAACAGTACTCCTAATCCTTCACCCGATATTTCCACTAACCCTGCTGACCTAGCCATACTTGCTAGGTCCCTCCGTATCTCACCCCCGGGCAGACTCATAGTTTCAGCCATTGGTACTCTGACAGAGCACTTATCCGGCTTCACTGATTCTATTCTTCAACCTCTCATCCCCGCTATTCCCAGTTTCACTAAAGACACTACTCATTTTCTTAATATTGTATCCTCCATCCCTGAACTTGCTGGAGATTCCCTTCTTGTTACTATGGACGTTCGTCCCTCTACTCTAACATCCCCCACAACGAAGGCTTGAATGCTCTTTCATCTTTTCTTCACAAACACGATTTACCCATTTCCCATTTCATACTTACCCATAACAATTTTTTTTTTAATAATGAGCCCTTTCTCCAAGTTAAATGTACAGCCATGGGTACCAAGATGGTGCCCAGCTATGCCAACATCTTCATGGCATTCCTGGAAGAGAAACTTATCTCTGCTTTTCAATTTAAACCCGCTCATTATCACCGGTACATAGACGATATTTTCTTCGTTTGGAACCATGGGCTTGACAATCTTTTGCTTTTTGAAAGACATGCTAACACATTTCACCCTCACATTAAATTCACACTTGACTACTCATCCCAGAACATCCCTTTTCTCGATGTATTCGTCTCTATCCAAAATGGTAACATCACCACTTCAGTTTACGCTAAACCTACTGACAATCACTCATACCTTAATTTCTATAGCTCTCATCCCCTCATTCCCAAGAAATCTATTTTTTTTTTATAGCCAATGCCTTCGCCTTAAACGGATCTGTTCAGATGAGGCCGATTACACCGCCAATGTCGGTCTACTCATGGGATATTTTATTGACAGCGGTTACCCTATCCCCCTCATCCAATCCCAAATAGCCAAAGCTAATAAACGATCCCGCCAAGACCTTCTCGCCCCCCGACCCAAATCCACCACTGACCGAATTCCTTTAGTTTTTGACTTTCATCCCCAAGTGGAAACCATTAGGAAAGATTTCTCCATACTTCAACAGCACGAATCCACTAAATTTCTTCTTTCTTCTTCTAATATTAATGATAACCCTAACCACGGTAACCTTAAATGCAATAAACCTCGTTGTATATTATGCACTTCACTCATTACTGACAGCAACATTGAAATTCCTAATAGCAAACATACCATTCATCCACCTCCTTTCAAGTGCGATTCTCCTAATGTTATTTACTTAATTACCTGCAATATTTGCCCACTGTCCATTATATAGGCGAGACCAGCACTAAGTTTCGTACTGGAATTAATAACCACAAGTCCTCCATCCGCAATAATCTCCCTGGATTCTCTGTTGCCGAGCATTTCAATGCCCCTAACCATAGTATCAACAACATGAAATTTGCCATTATCGCCGGTAATTTTAAGTCTCATTCAGACAGAAAAATTAATGAACTCATATATATATTCTCAAATACAAAACTCACCTCTTTGGCCTCAACAGAGATCTCGGCATCATTAGTGATTACACATTCAGCCACCTCTAACATCATTGTATCACCGTTTATTATATTATTACATTATTTTACACATGCTGTTTATTTTTGTCATATCCCGGCTTCTGTTTGATTTTCATTGTTATTATTTAGTTTTTGCTTTTGATCACTCATTCCTATTTGCGATTTTGAACTAGACATATTTTTTTATTCTTTTTTTTTTTTATATCTACGGGTTTTATTATAACGTGTTGTTTACTTATTTCCTATCTTCTTGATGTAGCTATGCTACACTCATTTTTATTATACTTTTTCATAACATTGATTCATTTTGACTATTTTATGTATTTACCTCGCTCTTGACATTATATATTTATTATTTTACATATTTTATACTTGCGTCCATTGTGGCCTAAATGTTATGCTATGTTTCTCTATATCCTGTTTTTATTTGGAATTTTGGTCAATATACTATAGTCTGTTTATTATTGAACGACTATTAATCTCCGTTCTCATTGCAAACTGTTTATTACTATCAATGT